GGGGGGGCGCCGCCAGGCAGCAGTGCGCCAGGTGGGGAACCGGGCTGGGAGCCGGCCTGGGAGCCGGCAAAGGCGCCGGTCAGGGCGCCGGGCGGCGAGCCGGGCTGGGGGTTACGCTCGGGGCCGGCCTGGGAGCCGGCGCGGGTGCCGGTCAGGGCGCCGTGTTTGGAGCGTATGACGTACACTCGGTTCCAGGGAGCGGCAGGTGACCGGGCCCTCGTGCTCGTGCTGCTCCGCTGGCTGGTACGGTCTGAGTCGCGAGAAGGTCGACGTCCGCGCTGGGAGTCGTCGTGGAGCGTGCCTTCCTGACTCTCATACCCGTCTTGGTTGGGAGCGGGCCGAGATCGCCAGTTATCCCAGGTCTGAGATTGGGAGGCGTCACGAGGAGGCTGCTGAGATCCCCCCGGACTCCTGGACGAACGGTGGTTTCGACCAGATTTCGGTCCACGCGAGGGGGGGCGGCCACGGCTGTCCTGACTCCGCGGGCGGCTGGTGCTCTGTGGCGGAGTCGCAGCGTTGGCTGCCAGGTGTGCGTAGGTGCACGCGTCGCCCTTGGCGCAGTGGCCTGCCTGGAAGTAGCTGCAGGCGGGCACGTGGGGGTAGCGGCAGCGGTCGCCGTACGAACAGGCACCAGTTTTGGCGAATCTGTGGCAAAAACGCGCGGCGCCGCCGTGAGGCTGCTGCGAGCCGGGTGGCTGGGCAGAACGCTGGGGCTGGCGAGAGTTCTCGCTGTGAGGGGCGCCAGTGTCAGGGCGGCTGCGGGAGTCCACCATGTGCAGGAGCTTGCACGCGTTTCCCTTGGGGCATTTGCCCTTGCTGAAGGGCACGCAGAAGCCAGTCTTCGGAGAGACGATGGCTGCGGTGTCCCTGTTGCCTGTCCTCAGGTGGTACTGGTTGCGCCGCGTTCGGTGTAGCTCAAGAACAGCTGTGACTCGGTGGTGGAGCCAAGTGTAACAGCGCTCTGGTGCCCCTTTAGGAGCTTTGTTGTACGTGTTCATGTCGTCCTTCATCCAAGGATGCAACTCAATCTGTGTACGAAACAGTGACTCCATAATGTTCGGCGGAGGAAGCTCCCGGAGCTCCAGGAGCAGTTGGTCCCACTCCGTCACGAACCTTTTGAGGTCATCTCCATGCATACGTAGAGTGTTGATCCTTTCGAAATCATGAATCGTATCGTCGGCGTCGGTCACATCGTAATAACGCAAAATCTTCCAGTAGATCTGACGTCCCTTTATCATGCGACCGTGCTTGTGCTCTGTGTTCTCCAGCAATTTGATATCCAGTTTCAATTCGCTGCTGAGAATCGCTTGTAAAGCTTCCGCGAACTTCAGATCCAAACTTGCGAAATCACCGCTGTCCTGTAGATCATCCAGTGTCACACCGGGCTGTTCTGCAACACAGAAGAACTTGTATGCAGCATCTGGACGCCCAGAGGCACTGCAGAAGGCCTTGCGGACTGCGTGCTGCCACTCAAGAACATGTCCGATTCTGGGAAGACCTGGAACACGCACACGCTCGCTCTCCTTCACCGGTGTGATGGTAGCAACAGGGCTCCCTCCGATGGTGTATTGAGACTGCATGACAGTAGCACCAAGGACGTTGGGCACTGGTGAGTGCGTGCGAAAACTTGCAGCGTCGAAGTTTGCCTCCTGTGCAGGTGCTGCGGAAGCGGCCGGGGCCGCGGTCCTGCTGGCAGCTGACGGTGACACACGTCGGGCCTGTGGCTGGTAGCCAGCGGCTGGGGTTCCCCCCTGCACACCCCCCGCGTTCGAGGCAGGGGCGCCGGGAGAAGTGCGTCTGGAGGTCGGGGCTTGTGGTGGTACAGGTGTGTGCTGTGTAGCATCAGCTACGTGGGCCTTGAATTGGTCTTCGAGAATGATGTTGTCACGTTGCAACTGTTCGATGCAGCCTGAGAAACCATCAACATTCCTCTGGACCTCGCGGGTCTTGTCTGTAAGCACGGAATACTGTCGTTGAGTAGACTGGGAAAGGTCTGTAAGAAGAGAACGTAGCTGATCCATGTCGGCCTTTACGCGCGACAGCTCCTGCTGCGTATCCGCCAGGCGGGTCTGCACTTCAGATACCCGTGCCTTTCCAGCATCCCTCTCAGAGCGAAGCTCGTGTAACTGCCTTTGCACGTGGTCCGCCTCCGCACGCACGGTCCGTTGTACGGCTGCCAGTACGGCGGGGTCGTCAACCGAAGAAGGGGGCACCAGCTGGCCAGTCTGGGCCCTTACAACGCGCAGCTCAGTCACGGCCTCTTCGAGAGTCAGGACTCTGGCGGTGAGCTTTGGGATCGAATCAACTTGGGAATCAGAGAGACGCTGGTTGACAGCATTTTCGGCTTGACAGAGTTTGCCGTAGAGATCTTGTTGGACTTGTTGGGTCTCAGCACGAAGATCAGATGTAGCAGACATCGTGGCGTCACGAAGCTCAATAATCTGGCCCTGGAGAGCTGAGGGAGCCGCGCCGGCGCTGGCGGCAGCAACTGCTTGGATTTCATCGTGGAGAAACTTGGCGCGAGTATCATTGTGGTCACGCATATGGATAAAACGTGCTTCCAAATGAGAGAACTCGGAGTGCACAGCGGCAAGCTCGGAGTGGTCTTGGCCACGTTGAGCGGCAACAGCATCGACCTTCGAAACGAGTTGACACATGACGTGACGATCCTCGTACAACCTAGCGTCGACTTCCTGCAAACCTTTAGCGAGATCCGATCGCAAGATCGCAGTCTCAGTGGCGGTTGCCCGGTGCACGAGAGCAGTCTGATGCTCCACATACGTCTGTACCTGGTCTCTTAGCTCAGCCATATCTGTTAGGGGGACGGCGGCAGGCGCAGCCACAGGTGAGCTGACAGCGCGTCTTCGTGCCCTCTGGGAGGGACTGCGGCTGTGCAAATCCTGGGCTGCAATCTGGAACTGTTCGGGGCCACGTCTGTCACGAGGCGAAGCTGCGCGAGAACGAGAAACAGTGACTTGACGGCCGGCGAAGGCTGCGCCGTCGCGGGTCTGAGCACGAAACTCGAGGGCGCGGACGTGCTCTCGGACTGGCGTCACGGCACGGGTGACTGGGTTCCGTCCTGGCGCGCCGGCGTTCGCGTGACTCCCGCCCCAGCGGCGAGATCCTCCAGAGCCTCTCTGCACGGGACTTCCCTGTGGAGGCGAAAGAGCCTCCGAGTGGGCCCCCCCAGCAGGGGCCCGAAAAGTCGGGGTCAGATTTTGAGGAGGTTGAGGAGTCTGGAGCTGAGGAACTCCAGGAGCCACAGGGTGTCTCGCTCTGACAGCATTTCTGGGCGGATCATTCCGTGGCACGAGGACCTCAGCGCTCTGAAAGAGATGCTGCGCAGCACCCGAGCTGCGGTCTCCCGCTGCATCTGACACGACGGGCGACGCGACGGGATGAACGACTGACGACGAGGAAGGGGCCTGGAACTGAGGAGTACCAGGAGCGTGTCCTTGTCCAGCGTCAAGACCCTCAATACCTGGAGAAATGGCCACACGATCAGCTCGCGGGATGCCATGCACGTCCATCAAAACTTCAATCTCCTGCTCCAAGTTGCGCGCCACGGGGTCCGCCACGCCGTCGCGAAGAGGCGCGGGGCCGAGAGGCGCACCGCCCTCCATCGCGACTGAGTGGGGGGCTCAGGAAGCGCGGAAGTTGGAGCGATTGCGTGTTGAACAGAGAATGCTGATGCTGATGAAGATGGTGATTCTGATGATGATGATGATGATGATGATGATGATGATGATGATGATGATGATGATGATGGTGATGATGCTGACGATGATGATGACGGTGGTGGCGGTGGAGGTGGTGGTGATGACATGGTTGTTGTGGAAATGATTTTCATAACGATGATGATGATGATGATGATGATGATGATGATGATGATGATGATGATGATGATGATGATGATGATGATGATGATGATGATGATGATGATGATGATGATGATGATGATGATGACGATACTGATAACGATGAGCATGGTGGTGGTGATGGTGAGGAGAGGAAGGACGAGGAGGATGTGGAGGAGATGGATGAGGATTGGGATCAGAAGGAGGAGGCGGCGGTGGAGGAGGAGGAGGAGGAGGAGGTGGAGGAGGAGGAGGAGCAGGAGCAAGACGAGGAGGTAGATAGGTAGATCGACCGTGCCTCCACGTCCCATCTCATCAGGGGTGGCCGCCCGACTCTTGAAGTCCTTCTGGCCCAAGAGCTTGTTGTCAGACCTCCTGCAGTCGACGGGCGGCGCAGCGCCCCCCGAGCAGCGAGCGCGCCACAGGGTGCCGCAAACTGCCGTGGCGACCCCAGAGGCTCAAACAGGTTCGAAAACATCCCCAAACGTGGTCGTTTTCTTACTCATCGTTTTGCCGATCGACGAGGGCCCTCGCACACCCCCCTCCCTCCCCATGGAGTAGATCCTGGCGGTTTCTGTCGCCTGTTTCGAGCAGGTGGGGTCTCCCCCACAGGACGCGCTGTCGCAGGCAATGGCGCTGAGCGGAGTTCCAGAGCCAGACCCCCCCCCCCGCTGCCCCCTCCCCTTCCGCCAAATGTCGAAACGCCGAACAAGAAAACGTTCACCATCCGAAAACCTCATATCTCGAGACATGTGTCGACCGGCACGGCAGGTTCGCGCCGCGTCGACGCGTCGTCGACCCCGGCGCAGGCGTTCGAGGTGGAACGCCGCTGGTGTCCCGGAAGCGGCCGACGTCGGACGATCTCTGCGCTGTCGGAGAGCCGCGATCCTCCAAGGCGGAGCGATCCACGCGGTGTCAGAGACCAATGCCAACGTCGCAATGAACGGGAATGGCCGCTCCTCCTCCTCCTCCTCCTCCTCCTCCTCCTCCTCCTCCTCCTCCTCCTCCTCCTCTCCTCCTCCTCCTCCTCCTCTCCTCCTCCCCTCCTCCTCCTCCTCCTCCTCCTCCTCCTCCTCCCCCTCCCCCTCCTCCTCCCCCTCCTGTGCTGGAATGCGTTTCCGGACCTGGTTGCGCGCTCGCTCGTCCAGGCTACCTCAGCCCGCCAAGAGAGCGGACGCGGCGCTCGCGCAATGGGTGGCTCCGAGTCGATGACCATCAACCCCACGGCCGACGGGCCGGAGCCGATGCCGCAGGGGCCCCACATGAAGGAGGCCACGGATGCGGACGACGGGCTCGAAAAGCAGCTGGACATCGCGCGGCAGGTGGGCCGCGCGTCGTTCGTCGTCGTCGTTGTTGTCGCCGCCGCCGCCGCCGCCGCCGTCGTCGTCGTCGTCGTCGTCGTCGTCGTCGTCGTCGTCGTCATCATCGTCGTCGTCGTCGAATCCGTTGTCGAAACCGCTGCTTCCGTTTCAGTCGTCATCATCATGATCACGATTCTCATCACCGCCAACACCATCACCACCACCATCATCACCATCATCATAATCACCATCATCAATGTATGATCATAATCCGCATTAGCGTCATCATCATCATCATCATCATCATCGTTTCTAAATATAATCAGCATGAGCAGCATTATCATCACCATCATCATCACCATCATCACCACTATCACCACCAACATTATCATAGTCATCATCTTCTTCATCATCATCACCATCACCATCATATTAATAGTGATCATCACAATTATCACCATCATAATCAACCTCAGCATCATCACCATCGTCACAATCATCAGCATCATCATCACCATGGTAATCATCATCATCAGCATCATCATCATCATCGTTATCGTCAACACCACTATTATCAGCATAATCAGCATCACCATCCTCATCACCACCATAACCATCAGCATCGTTGTCGTCATCATCGTCATCATCACCATCAGCATCACCATCATCATCCTCATCATCATCATCATCATCATCATCATCATCATCATCATCATCATCATCGTTATCGTCATAATCGTCATCGTCGTCATCATCGTCGCCATCGTCATAGTGATCGTCATTGTCACGGTTATGGGCATCGTCGCCGTCGTCGTCGTCGTAGTCGTTGTCGTCGTCGTCGTGGTCGAAGCCGTCTTCGAATCGGATGCCGAATCCGCGGCCGCTGCCTCAGTCGTCGCCGCCGCGCCCGCCGTCGTCTCCGCGGCAGGTGTCTGACGTCAGCACCGCGGCCACGCAGTCTCCAGCCGGGGTGTCACCCTGGGCCCCGCCCTGCGAGCCGGTTCTCAGAGGCAACGTTAGGGGGGGATGGGCTCAGGGGAGGATGCATTGACCCCCATTCATCGCCGAAGCGGGGCCTGATAGCCCAACGCGCCCAGGGGCCTGCGGATTCGCTATCGGGGGCCTGACGCCGATTCCAGGTCGATGCTTCTGATTCCAGGACGATGTTTCCCTGAGCTGCCCCCCCGAACGTTGCCCCTCAGGTTCCTTTCCACCAGCTCGAGTCCATGGACGAGGCGGGTAATTCCGAGCAGCTCAGCGAGGAGGAACAGGAGTCGGGGACACCAAAGGACGATTGAGGACACGAGGGCGTTCCACTGCGTGTCTACGGCACGGTGGCGGGCCATTCGCATTAGCACCGTCATCAGCATGATTATTTACCTGATCATCATCATCATCATCATCATCATCATCATCATCATCATCATCATCATCATCATCATCATCATCATCATCATCATCATCATCATCATCATCATCATCATCATCAGCATCATCATCATCATCATCATCATCATCATCATCATCATCCTCAACACTAGCGCAACATTGCCCTGGACGGTGACGTTGCCAGTGCCAGTGCTGGTGCTATTGCCGTTGCGTTGCTACTTCCAGTGCAGTTGCTATAGCGATTGCCATTGCCATTCTCTTATCTATTTCCCTTACCGCTGGAAGCACAGCATTGGTGTTGTGGGCATTCCGTGCTCCGTTGTCAGATAGGAGCAAGTTCCGATACCGTGTTTACGTTTCGTCCTTGTACTTTGCAATCGTGATTGTTTTTGGACTTGTTATCTAGCGTTGGAGTACATGGGATTTATCAGTTTACGCCGTCTAACACAAACGTTACCGATAGTGCACACACGAAGCCCGATTGCCGAGAGTACCCCACTGACATGCTTGCTGCATGTAGGGAGTAAAACAGGCACGCGTTCAGCATTGCTACCAGACCAGCGCAATTCTGCGGAGGAACTTGGAGCTCCTTTCGCGAGGGAGCATGCCGACCTTTGGGATGCGCAAGGCTTGGATGATTGCCCTTCTGTGAGTACCAGGAGCAGAACAGTTGGTGCGGAGACGATGCGTTCCCGCATTTCGCAACGGGCGCTGGATCTTTGCTTCCGAGGATGAGTTTGGTGAGTGATTTGCTGGGATCGGTATCGAAGCTGCAATGTGATTCACCGGCGTCTGGATGTCACATGCTTGCAATGTGGAGCTGTGGACGAGCTTGGAGGACAGATTCGTGTACGAGTCCATCTGAGGCACTGCGGTGCCATCCACCCAGGCCCCGCGCAGGGCGGGGCGCTGCCCGACTTTGGGTGTCAGTCTGTCTGCCTGCTTGCCTGACATCAAAGCTTCGCGTGGCGAGGTTGCTGGAGAATGCCTGCCAGACGGGGGGGTCCGCGGGTGGTCGAGCAACGTCCGGGGTGATCTTTCTTCGGGCAGGCCGGTGGCTGCGATGCCGCCTGCCTGAGCAGGTGCTCAGTCGGCTTCCTCCCTTCGCGCGCACGCTATTCCAGATTTCGCAATAAAAGGGAGGGGGTCTGGACCCTCCAAGACAAGCCATTTCAGACCCCCCCCCGCGGGAGAACCCTCCAAAACATCGTCCCCAGACACCCCCAGGCCCTCCAAGATAGCTTGGAAGAGGCCCCCCCCGAAATGAGACCCCCTCCCTTTATGGTGAAATCTGGAGGACCGTCGCCCGCCTCGACCTCCAAGCTCGTGGGAAAAAGCCTTCGGCATCGAGATGCCGCTCGCAGGCGCCGAAGCCGTGGGGCGCCAGGGTCGTGCAGGCGAGCGTCGAGGCTGCGCCCAGGCTGCTCCTCCTCCTCATTCTCCTCCTCCTCCTCCTCCTTTTCCTCCGCCTCCTTTTCCTCCTCCTCCTCCTCCTCTTCCTCCTCCTCGTCCCGCTCTCCCTCCTCCCCCTCCAGTTCAACGGAAGCATGGGAGAGCTCGGCTGACTTGTGCGGAGGGGTGGCGCCGTCATGTCGGGGGCCTCTCCGGTGGGCTTGGGGGGATGGCACCCTACTGCTGGCCTGACGAATTCGCCAGGGGGGGGGGGAACGGATTCCTGAGGGGAACGGGTCCTGATTTTTTTTTGGGCCTCTTGGCATTTTCGGGCTCTCCGGGGCCGTCCCCACGGGCACGGGGACTGTCAGAACACGGCTCGGGATGAAGAGCTCGTCCCGGGGGAAGGAAGAGCTCGTCCCGGGGGAAGGCACCAGGGTCCAGGACACCTTTCCCTCAGGACCCAGAAAACGATTCAGGATGAAAAACTCGTCCTGGGGGAAGGCACCTGGGTCCAGGACCCGTTTCATTCAAGGCCCGTTTCCCCCATGTTCACAAGTGCCCGTTCGGAGGGGTGGCCCCGCTCCAGTTCTCTTCTCTCTCCCCCCCAGGATGGGCAGTGGATCTCCACCTCCTCCTCCTCCTCCCTCCTCCTCCACCTCCTTCTCCTCCTCTCTCCTCCTCCTCCTCCTCCTCCTCCTCCTCCTCCTCCTCCTCCTCCTCCTCCTCCTCCTCCTCCCCCTCCCCCCCCCCCCCCTTCGCTCTCTCCCTCCTTGCCCCCCCTCCCCTGCCGTCGGGTTCCCGCCTCCCTCTCCCGCCGTCGGCCTGGTGAGAGGTCCTGCCCCCCGCGGCGCGCAGAAGCCGACTCCGGAGAGCCTCTGCCTGCCTGGCCCCCCCAGGGGCTCCGCGCAGGCCCTCGCCGAGCCAGGGTCTCTCCTGCGTGAAGGGGCGCGCGTGGGCGGTGGGAGGGAGGACTCGGGGGCCCCCCAAAACGGGGTGGTGACCACACCGTGTGGTGAGTCGGTGGGGATTCGGGGTCACCGCACGGTTTTGGGAGTTGGGTTGTTTTTAGAGGATGTCGCGGGCGACTGGGGCCTCCGAGGTTCAAAAATCGTGCGGTGACGGAGTCTGCGGTGAGGTCTTTGTGGATTTCGGTCACCACTGAGTCTATCACCGCACAGTGTTGGGACCCCCACAGGACCCCTGAGATCCTGGCATCTCGATTTTTCGGCCAGTTTCGGGCCCCAGGACACTCACATATTGACCCAGCGCGAGAAATGGCGCAGGAAGAGGGCGTCTGGGGCTCCAGCCGTGACTCTTCACGATGCTATTTCTTTTCGTTACGTCGGGTGTCAGGGTAGGCTCGGCGTCAACCCTGCATACTTATACTATGTGTGCGTCGCCCCCCCCCCCCCCCCCAGGGGCGACTCGCGCACCGAGACATCTTCTGGTATATGCGTCGTGGCGGGCGCTTTCTGGCCACGCCGCTCGGGAAACGATACGCTACAAGACGGGTGTGCTATATGCTCGGGTCGGACGCGCGCCTCCAAGGAGGATCTATAGTACCTATACGACCGCTCTGCGGGCGAGAAGGAGGTTGGGGGTTATTGAGATCAAATGCCCACCCTGAGCAGAAACAAATGAATTGATGGATTGGGTTGGATGGATTGGATTGGGTGGTATAAGATAAGATGGGACAACATGTGCTGGATAAGATAAGATTTATTTGATTTGTCAAGATGGATTGGATAAGAAAAGCTGGATTTGATAATAAAGCCTGCCGCAGGCGCCGACAAACAATGAATTGATGGATTGGGTTGGGTGGATTGGCTTGGATGCGATAAGATGGATTGGATAAGATAAGATGGGTTTGATTGGAAGAAATGTATTGGATAAGATCAGGTGGATTGGATTGGCCCGCTGCAGGCGCAGAAACAAATGAATTGATGGACTTGGTTGGGTGGATTGGATCGGGTGGGATAAGATATGATGGGGCAAGATGGGTTGGATAAGATAAGATGGATTGGATTAGACAAGATGGATTGGATCAGATAAGCTGGATTTGATAAGAAAGCCCGCCGCAGGCGCAGAAACAAATGAATGAATTAGCGACATGCGTTAGCGCCGGGACGCCCGGGACACCCAGGACACCCGGGACACCGCCCGGCCCAATTGGGACACCTCCCGGCCACCGGCAGCCGGGAAACGGACTTTCGCTCCTACTGACACCCGGGACACCCGGGACACCGCCCAGCCCAACTGGGACACCTCCCAGCCACCGGCGGATGGGAACGGACTTTCGCTCCTACTTCGGCCTAGCTACAGGAGGATCACGCGCAGCTTCGCCTCGCCCGCACGCACGACACGAACACGAAACCGAAACCGATTTCCCGGTGGGGGGTCTCCGTTTCACTGCGATCTCACCCCCAAACTTCCGATCAGCGTGTCTCTGTGCGTCCCATAGGTTTAAGTCGGGCGCGTCCCTCTACAGGAGGAACGTTCAAAACTAGTCAAAATCTAGTCCGGGGGACTTTTTCGTGCCTATTTTTGACTAGTTTTGAGTATTTTTGGGGTATGTTTTAACTTTTTCGTCCAAAAATCCTCCTGTATGAGGGACATGCCCACCCTAACCATCTCTGGGCCCGCATCTGCCTGGGCATGCCGGCCGGCATCTGCCTGGGCATCCCGCGGTGAGCTCCTCTCAGGACTGCAGCGAGCCCGCCCGCATCTGCCTGGGCATGCCGCCCCTCCAGTCCGAGCTGGGCCAGTGGGTGCCGGGGGGGGCCGCGAGCGGCAGGGGGGTCTGAGGGTCGGGATGTCTCGAGCACTTGCGAGCTGCACGAGGATGATGAGGATGAGGAAGATGATGAGGATGATGATGATGATGATGATGATGATGATGATGATGATGATGATGATGATGATGATGAGGGAGATGATGCTGCTGATGATGATGATGAGGACGATGATGCTGCTGATGATGATGGTGGTGGTGATGATGGTGATGGTGATGATGATCATGAGGAGGATGCTGATGATGAGGAGAATGATGATGATGATGATGATGATGATGATGATGATGATGATGATGATGATGATGATGACGATGAGGATGATGCTGATGATGATGATCATGGTGTTGATGGTGGTGGTGATGATGGTGGTGGTGATGATGCCGATGATGGTGATGATGATGCTGATGATGATAATGATGATGACGATGACTATGATGATGATAGTGATGATGATGATGATGATGCTGATACTGCTGATGATGATGTCAATGTGGGTGTTGGTGTTGATATGCCGATGATGACGCTGATGATGACACTGACTCTGACGATGCCGTTGACGATGATGGTGGTTCTGATGCGGATGATGCTGAGCAGGAGGGTGATGCTGTTGATGCTGATGATGAGGATGATGATAATGAGGATCATGATGACTATGCTGATAATGATGATCATGATCATGATGCTGATGATGATGATGCTGATGTTGATGATGTTGAAGATGATGAGGATGAGGATGAGGTTGAGGATGTTGTTGTTGATGGTGGTGGTGGTCGTGGTGAGGATGATGATGCTGCTGATTATTATCATTATTATGCTGCTGATGATATTGGTCATGATGTCGCTGGTGCTGATGCCGATGTTGATGATGCTGATGACCATGATACTGATAACGGTGATGATGATTATGACGATGATGCAGATGATGCTGCTGCTGATGATGATGTTTTGGATGATAATGGTGATGATGATGTTGATAATGCTGATGATGCTGCTGATGATGATGATGATAATGATGGTGATGGTGGTGGTGGTGATGATGGTGATGCTGATGGTGGTGGTGGTGATGATGCTGATGATGATGGTGGTGATGATGCCGATTATGATGCTATTGATGATGATGATGATGATGATGATGATGATGATGATGCTGATGATGATGATGATGATGATGATGCTGATGATATTGATGATGCTGATGCTGCTGCTGATGATGATGATGATGCTGATGATGATGATGCTGATGATGATGATGATGATAATGTTGGTGTTGGATTTGATGATGTCGATGATGCTGATGATGACAATGACTCTGACGATTCCGTTGATGATGATGGTTGTTAAGATGTGGATGATGCTGAGTAGGAGGGTGATGATGCTGATGCTGATGATGAGTATGATGCTGATCCTGATGATTAGGATGATGACAGGATAAGCATGATTATGCTGATGATGATGTTCATTCTCATGATGCTGATGCTGATCCGTAAGGGCTTCGCCCCCTGCCGCCGGCCCCCTCTCTCGGAGAATGGGCCATGGAAGAGCTAAGTCATGAGGCCTTGGCGCTGTCGTGAAGCAGTATCGAAACTTCATGCGAAGCCGATTCGCAATCAGCAAAACCAACTGATCACAAGAGGGGTTACCACACCTGGCGATTGGTAAGACGTGTATGGTTTACGGGCTTGGTTACCACACCTTGCGATTAAAGGGCCGAGGGAGTTCTCGCAGTTTGGGTTACCACGCCTTGCGATGGATGTGCGTGAAGGGTGGCACCGAATTTCAGAAATGTGGCAAATCCCCTGTGTTTTTGGACCCTGACCCCGCGGATCTGCGTGAGGGGTGGCACCGAATTTCAGAAATGTGGCAAATCCCTGTGTTTTTGGACCCTGACCCCGCGGATCTGCGTGAGGGGTGGCACCGAATTTCAGAAATGTGGCAATCCCTTGTGTTTTTGGACCCTGACCCCGCGGATCTGCGTGAGGGGTGGCACCGAATTTCAGAAATGTGGCAAATCCCTGTGTTTTTGGACCCTGACCCCGCGGATCTGCGTGAGGGGTGGCACCGAATTTCAGAAATGTGGCAAATCCCCTGTGTTTTTGGACCCTGACCCCGCGGATCTGCGTGAGGGGTGGCACCGAATTTCAGAAATGTGGCAAATCCCGTGTGTTTTTGGACCCTGACCCCGCGGATCTGCGTGAGGGGTGGCACCGAATTTCAGAAATGTGGCAAATCCCCTGTGTTTTTGGACCCTGACCCCGCGGATCTGCGTGAGGGGTGGCACCGAATTTCAGAAATGTGGTGTTTTTGGACCCTGACCCCGCGGATCTGCGTGAGGGGTGTCGATTTCGAGCCCCCCCAGCAATTCAGACAACGCGCCCAGGGGACGCTAAAAAGCCACTTTGGGCCTCCCCCCCCCTCGCGCGGTCAATCAACTAGTTACAGTAACCAGCAATGAGTCAACTAGTTACAGCAACCAGCAAGAAGCAGAACTGTAACACTGGAAACTACAACCTACGACTGGTACAGGAAACTGCGAATCACGGGCCTACAGCCTGGTGGCCCCACAAGGGGGCCGGCGGATTTTGATGATGATGATGATGGTGATGTAGACAATGAGGAGGATGATGATTATGATGATGAGGATCGTGCTGATGATGGTGGTGATGGTGGTCGTGGTGAGGATTATGATGATGCTGCCGATGATGGTAATGATGATGTCGCTGGTGCTGATGCCGGTGTTGATGATGCGGATGACTATGATTTTGATGACGGTGATGATGATGATTTTGATGATGCTGATGTTGATGCTGATGCTGATGCTGATGCTGATGATGATGACAAAGATGACGGCAATGATGACGCTGCTGCTGCTGATGCTGATGATGGGATGGGGATGAGGATGTGGATGATGATGAGGATGATGATGACGATGATGATGATGATGATGGTGATGATGATGATGATGATCATGCTGATGCTGCTGCTGCCGATGATGATGATGCTGATGCTGATGATGATGCTTTTGCTGCTGATGATGATGTTGAGGATGATGAGGATGGTGATGATGATGCTGTTGATGATCATGTTGATGGTGTTGGTGGTGGTGAGGAAATGATGATAATGATGATGCTGCTGATGATGATGGTGGTGATGATGGTGGTGATGATGGTGGTGGTAATTATGATGATGCTGATGAGGATGGTGTTAATGCTGATGATGATGCTATTTTTGCTGATATTGCTGATGATGCTGACGTTAATGTTGGTGTTGGTGTTGACGATGGCGATGATGACGCTGATGATGACAATGACTAGGACAATGCCGTTGACGATTATGGTGGTGTTGGTGATGATGATGCTGCGGAAGATGATGATGCTGATGTTGATGATGCGGATGACGATGGTAAAGAGGATGATTATGAGGATGATGATGCTGATGATGAGGATGAGGATGAGGATGATGATGATGTTGATGATGGTGATTCGGATTTTGATTACATTTATGCTGCTGATGCTGATGATGTTGCTGGTGCTGATGCTGATGCTGATGATTATGATGATGACGGTGATGGTGATGATCATCATGATGATCATGATGCTGATGCTGCTGATGATGATGATGATGGCGATGATGATGCTGCTGCTGATGCTCATGATAAGATGAGGATGGGAATGGGGACGAGAATGAAGATACGGATGATGCTGCTGATGATGATACTGATGATGATGATGCTGATGCTGATGATCATGCTGATGATCATGATGATGCTTATGCTGATGATGATCATGATGATGGTGATGATGATCATGAAGCTGATCAAGCTTATTATTCTGCGTCTGTTGATGATGATGTTCAAGATGGTACTGATGTCGACGACGAAGATGATGATGCTGATCATGATGATGATGATGCTGATGATAGTGATGATGAAGATGCAAATGATGATGATGATGATGCAAATGATGATGCTGATGCTGGTGATGCTGATAATGATGATGCTGCTGATGATGATGATGTTGATGATGTTGATGATGGCCATCATGGTGATGATGTTGATATTGATGGTGAGGATGATGATGGTGATGATGATAGTGAAGGTGATGTTGATGGTTATGATGATGCTGATGATGCTTATGATGATGCTGATGATGATGCTGATGATGCGGATGCTGACAATGGTGCTGATGCTGATGATGACGATGCTGATGCTGATGCTGATGCTGATAATGATGATGGTGATGATGACGATGATGATGATGACGATGATGACAATGATGATGATGATGATGATGATGATGATGATGATGATGATTATGATGATGACGATGATGACGATCATGATGGTGATGGTGGGGTGATGGTGATGGTGGTGATGATGATGATGGTGATGGTGGTGGTGGTGGTGGTGGTGGTGGTGGTGGTGGTAGTGATGATGCTGCTGATGCTGATGCTGATGCTGACGCTGATGATGATGATGATGACGATGATGATGATGCTGCTGATGCTGATGCTGATGCTGACGCTGATGATGATGATGATGACGATGATGATGATGCTGATGCTGATGATGCTAATGATGATGATGATGCTGATGATGATGATTAAGATGATGATGATGCTGATGATGATGATGATGATGATGATGATGATGATGATGCTGCTGCTGCTGCTGCTGCTGATGATGATGATGATGATGGTGGTGGTGGTGGTGGTGGTGGTGATGATGATGATGAGGATGATGATGATGATGAT